ATGTATATGTACCGGTATATGTATGCATGTATATGTATATATACGTACATACATGTATAGTTTAATCATGAATGTAGTACTCCCTACCAGCTTGTGCATGTCTTTTTCCAAATGTGTGTTCTGCTTCTTTTTTTGATTATTTCATGCGTGTCTTTTTTTCTGTCTAATTAAAACATGTGGATGCCTCAAATCCCCCCGCCCCGCCCAGGGGGGAGGATTAATCAAGTATCAACTTCACATCGTTATTCGTCCACTATAAAGCTCAGAAAGAGAAGTTTAAATCTTGAATAAATGTTAGTTTGGGCATGTCTACCAGGTACTGTTTATAATTTAGCAGCTGGGTTTGCAAAAATTCATGTTTGGTAGAAAAACAGAAAGCAAGTTTAACAACATCTGGCAGGAGACGGTGTAAGATGTGAGAGTACTTACAAAATCATCCCCAGAGTCTGCTCCCACTGAAGTGATGGACTCTTTGCTGATGGTTCGTGGTATTCGTACTCCAGCGCGAGGTGCTGTGGCTGCCTCCTCTGCGATCTTTTTCTTCAGCTTAGCAAACATGTTCGTCTCTTCAGCAGCTTTACTGGAGAGCAACCTGAAGTTTCTGGAGAGGTTCAGGTGTGGAGTTACAGCTGCTGGTTCTGGAGGCTGAAACAGAGGTTTCTGTGCAGAGCTGCTTAAAAACGTCTTGGTGTCGTGGGTCCATTCTGCTACATCTACAAAGAACAGGACTTCCATCAAAACACTTGAACTGTAGTTTCACTTTACATATAGACAGCTGTAAATGATCTCAGTTAAACATCAAGATCCTGTTCTTGTCTTGCGTTACTATAAAAATAAGACTGTTTGTGTATACTGAACACTGTACTGACACCAAGCCTGCCAGGTCAGTGGTTTCAGAGTGAAAGACTGGGAACTCCAGTCAGCTGAACCATCGCTTGTACTGGGAACTGCACCGACCCGGTGTTCCTCTCACAAACCTCCGGCACACATCAGCACAGGAGCTTCACTTCAGTTTCGACTAAAGTGCAGACGATTTAGCGTACACATTGTGGAAAACTTCAAATTAAACTAGTCTCATTAGAGAAGTGTTTTCTCATCCAAAAGCTAGCTCGGACCCTCACAACAACGAGCCGCGTTAGCTTCGTTAGCTTGTGCTGTCACTGAACTCGCCTTTTCTTCTTACCGTTAAAACTTCAGCTAAACATCCGCACGAAGACTCTTCGTGTCTTTAACAGCAACACCTTTTCTTTTCGTCCTCCTAAACAGCGTCAACAGTGGCAGTCTCGGTGACAAGTGCTTAAAAAGTCGGTAATCTCGTCTGACAAGCTAGCAGCTACACGTCATCACCCAACACAGATGGTTGCTGACGTCACTACGCAGACTCTGCTGATTGGACGAGAAGGGGTTGTCTGCAGAGTAAAAGTGGGCGTTTCTGGAGAATAGGCGTTTGTAGAGAGCAAACACTGATTGGCTACTGATTGGTGATCAGTCTTAGACCCATCCATCCATTATCTTTACCCGTTTGTTCCATTTTGGGTCACGGGGGTCGCTGGTGCCCATGTCCAGCAATCATTGTGCGAGGGGCGGGGGACACCCTGGACAGGTCTCCAGTCCATCACAGGGACACATAAAGACAAACAACCATTCACTCTCTCACTCACACCTAGGGACAATTTAGAGTTACCAATCAGCCTAACATGCGTGTTTTTGGACTGTGGGAGGAAACTGGAGTACCCGGAAAAAACCCACGCATGCACGGAGAGAACATGCAAACTCCACCCAGAAGGCCCCTGGACCGGGGTTTGAACCAGGGACCTGCTCGCTGAGAGGCAGCAGCTCTACCAGTTGCACCACCGTGCTGCACAGTCTTACACCCATAGATATCATATAAACATTAGATCCCGCATTGACGCTATCGCCTATTGGCGCAGACGAGCCGTAGGGCCGCCATCTTGGAACGGTCGACAGCTCCACTCAGTGTAACCTGTTTCTCAGGAGTAGTGAAGAATCTGTGGTTTAATCAGTCAGAGCTGAATACTAAACTCATTCTCACCATTTTTTCCTCTGTAAATCTTCGGAGTACAGCCATTAAAGCTGAACACATGGTTCAGTGTATTTAAATATTCTTGGTGGGGTTTAGTCCTTGTGGCTCCATGAAGCCAACCTGTATAAATAAAAGGTTGAATAAATCATTATGTATATATTTATATTCATTCAACCTTTATTGATACAGGTTAGTCCCACTGAGCCAATAGGACTCATTTACAAGAGAGACCTGGATTTTAACAAAGAGTGATGACAACAGTGGATAACAAACTGTTTTTCAATTGTAAAACAAACAAACAATAAAAAAATGTAAATTTGTATGAATCATTGTTGTTGTTGTTATCAGTGTCTTATTATCTTGTGCTGTGGTCCAGTGTCTTCATGGACGATGTGTGTGAGGGTGGACATGTTTGGAGGTTGCTGTGTTGAAGCTCCATGGATCAGCCTCTCTGCAGCTCTCAGCACCTTCACTGAGCTGCTCTTGTTCTTCACAGGTAGAAGGTGGGAGCTCTCATCAAATCATGATCTCCAGCATCATCTTGTTCATGCCAGGCTTTTCATCCACTGACCACACACACCTGGAAACATCAGGGGACCAGTTTAACACATCTGGAAGGAAACCAGTGAGATTTTAATATGACCAGTATGATATGATGTCATGTGGGGGAGTGGTGGAGCAGAGGTTACAAGATGGGCCTGTGATCGGAAAGTCGCAGGTTCAACTCCCGGTACCGTCAACATCAAAATGAGGTGGAAAAGGTGAAACACCCACACCTGCCTCCACCCTCATTGGCCCCACCCTGGTCCCCTGAGCAAGGCACTCAACCCCCACCATCTGCTCCTAAACAGGTCTCTCTAGAAAATGAGTTCTCGTGACTCAATGAGACTTCCTGGATAAATAAAGGGTCGATGAAAAATAAAAGTTTAAAATAGAAATACTCACATCATGAGGCCGAGGTTGTGTGTGTGACGTGCACGTTCCTGAGGTTGTGTGTGTGACGTGCACGTTCCTGAGGTTGTGTGTGAGACGTGCACGTTCCTGAGGTTGTGTGTGAGACGTGCACGTTCCTGAGACTGTGTGTGTGTGTGTGACGTGCACGTTCCTGAGGTTGTGTGTGTGGCGTGCACGTTCCTGAGACTGTGTGTGTATGTGACGTGCACGTTCCTGAGGTTGTGTGTGTGACGTGCACGTTCCTGAGACTGTGTGTGTGTGTGTGACGTGCACGTTCCTGAGGTTGTGTGTGAGACGTGCACGTTCCTGAGACTGTGTGTGTGTGACGTGCACGTTCCTGAGGTTGTGTGTGTGACGTGCACGTTCCTGAGGTTGTGTGTGTGACGTGCACGTTCCTGAGGTTGTGTGTGTGACGTGCACGTTCCTGAGAGGTCACAGACAGAGCAGCTGCAGCTTTTGTTCACTTCCTGTAGTCCTGCAGTTTTCAAGCTGAAATGAAAAAACATCATGAATATGAACTTTACAGTCTCTAGTTACCTGTTCATAGAAACACATGGAGGTGTCTCACCTTGTGACTCACAATAAAATATGTAACTTTATGAACTCTAATGAACTTATAATGATGCTCCTACTCTCTGAAGGTGAACCCATGGTACCACACCATCTCTCAGTCGGACAGTCTGATCAGTTTGATCAAAATCCTCCAGTTTAAAATCCTCACTGCTCAGATGAATCCTCCTCAAAGATACTTCCTCCTCTTCCTCACATCTTGTTCTTTGGGAAACCTTCAAAATGAAAACAGGAGATTTGTGTCAACACAAAAACATTGTACAGAGGAGGTCAAGCTTATTTTCTATTTCCTATATTCTCCCTAGTTTTATTTTTTAATTTCCTAGAACTTAAACAAAACTCCAATTATGATACATATCTGTTGATAATGAACCAAAGCTACTGAAATAGTGAGTATGCTTGTTAGCAAAATATTCCTGTCATCAGATCTCAGTCAGCTTCATTGCAGCTGAACACCGTGTTACACTGAACATCACATCAGCTGGTGGACATAAATACAGTACAGTAATATTATATTCACAAAATACTAACAATAATATGTTCATCTTACTGTGAAAAGTTATCCCCCGAGACCTGACGTCAACAGTCCGTCGATCTGAACAGAAATAAGCTGCGAAGTGCTGAGACATCTTCTGCTTTAACCAAATAAGGACGACCGTTTCAAGATGGCGGCTGAAAATCCTGCGCCGCAGCAGCCAATGAGGCATCTAGTGATTAAAGGGGAAACTAAACAGCCACTGGCCAAAAGGATGGACCAACACAGAAGATCAACATCATCAGGCCAGGACTCTGCGGTCTACACTCATCTCCAGGCCAGCGGTCACTCTTTCAGGGATGAAGATGTTCACATCCTGGACAGAGAGGAACAATGGTTTGAGAGAGGAGTAAAGGAGGCCAGGGCAGCACGGTGGCGCAACTGGTAGAGCTGCTGCCTCTCAGCGAGCAGGTCCCTGGTTCAAATCCCGGTCCAGGGGCCTTTCTGGGTGGAGTTTGCATGTTCTCTCCGTGCATGCGTGGGTTTTCTCCGGGTACTCCGGTTTCCTCCCACAGACCAAAAACATGCATGTTAGGCTGATTGGTAACTCTAAATTGTCCCTAGGTGTGAGTGAGAGAGTGAATGGTTGTTTGTCTCGTTTGTCTCTATGTGTCCCTGTGATGGACTTGCGACCCGTCCAGGGTGTACCCCGCCCCTCGCACAGTGATTGCTGGACATGGGCACCAGCGACCCCCGTGACCCAAAATGGAATAAGCGGGCAAAGATAATGGATGGATGGATGGTAAAGGAGGCCATCTTTGTGAAAAGACATCGTCCATCGTTAAACAGGGGTGGAGGCCTCCGGGTTCAACTGTCCCCCTCTTACAATGCTGTGATTGCTAGTATCACTCAACCCTCTGTGAACAGTAAGCAGCCATCAGGTGCTAATGATCCATTGTTAGGCTGATGGTCCTTCTTGACCATGTGAGCAGCTGGTTTTGGTTGTCAGCAGCAAAACTGGTTGAGCCACTCTGAGAAGGTGCTATTTAAGAGACTGAGCTGAATACAGCACCTCAGACGGAGGAAGACGAAACGTTTCTACATTTTTTTGTTGCTTTGTTTTTTGAATGTCGAGAGGACCAGACTTCACTTTTTTAGGTTTTCTACCTGGATGATTGAGCATGCTTCAGGGTAAGTGTTCAATAAAGTAAAAAAATAAAAAAATAAAAAAGGAAATAAAATAACGAAGAACGAGGAAGGCGTGTTAATGGTATCTACCACTCCCTACAGGCAAAAACTGGAAATACAGAAACACAAAGCAACTCAGAAATGATGTTATTTAATTCATTCAGTCTTTATTCAGACAGGTTAATCCCATTGAGCCTCGAGGACTCATTTACAAGAGAGACCTGATAAATATTAATAAATGCTTTGGACAATTACCTTAAACTTTCTGATGCATTTTGACTGTTGAAGTTAATATTTTTTATAGTTCTTAAATTTCTTTATAATTTTAATTTACTTTGTCATTTATCAGGGACCATATACAGAAAACGATTAAGGATTCAAGGATGCAATAATTTTTATTGTCATTCACATCACATGTGGTACATGAGGTGGAACGAAACTATGTACACAAGGTCCCAGTTACATCCAACAACAAAAAAAAATAATTTTTTTTTAAAGAAAAACATTAGTAAGATTCGAGTCATGAACTAAGAATATACTCCATTCACTAAACCAAGAATACACTAAGCACTAATGGTACAAAAACAATGCACCAAACAACAGCGGCACGAACATGAGTCTGTGTGAGCAGATGAGTACGAATGAACACAGCAGCATGAGATCAGCAGCATGGATAATCAGCAGCACATATCAACAATCAAGTGGCATCACAGTGATTATTCTGGTTAGAGATTCATGAGTCTAACAGCCTCAGGGTAGAAGCTGTTCCTCAGTCTAGTGATTCTACACTTAATGCTCCTTAACCTCCTTCCTGAGGGGAGCGGGACAAAAAGTGTGTGTGCTGGGTGAGTGGGGTCCTTCATGATGCAGGTGGCCCTCTTCCTGCATCTGGAGGTGTAGATGTCTGTGATGGTGGGGAGGCTGACTCCAACATCTTCTGTGCAGCCTTCACCACTCTCTGCAGAGCTTTTCTTTCTGCAGCTGTGCAGCCTCCATGCCACACGTTGATGCTGGAGCACAGGATGCTCTCCACTGCACACCTGTAGAAGGAGGTGAGGACTGAGCTTCCCAGACCAGCTCGCCTCAGCCGTCTGAGGAAGTAGAGTCTCTGATGAGCTTTCTTCATCAGGCTGGTGGTGTTGTTGCTCCAGCTGAGGTTGTCATTCATGTGTACACCCAAGTACTTGTAGCTGGAGACCACTTCCACCACAGATCCTCTCATGTTCAGGGGCAGGAGGTGTGTTTAAAACCAATTAGTAGAGTACAGAGACACACTATTAGATTATAGTCAGATTATAGCTTTCTGGCTAATTTTCATGTCAAGTAAAAATTGAAACTAAAAGGTTCTAAATAAAAACAAGGAATAAAATCAAGTACATAAAATGTATCAATACATTTACCTATACCCAAAGTGTAAATTTGTACAAAAACAGTACATGTCTAGAGATGTATAAACTAATCTGAGTGTTAATAATGCATCGATCTTAAAGATCAATGATGAGAGGTTTGAGTGACTAAAATCCTTTATTGCTTTAAATTCTCCTGTTGAAAATGTTTTAATACACTTTAAGCAGCTTAGATGTAGTTGTTAGGAACTGTGAGCATTTATTCTCTTTTATTGCATTTCACTGTAAATTATAAAACTTTCACACAATTCATGTTTTGTGGAGTCATTTAACGTGCTAAAACATTTATTACTGAAATGTAGACCTCTAAGTCGTTCCAGTCTCTCAGATGGTGCTGCATCAAAAATAATTTAGAGTTTAAAACAAAACTATTAGACTTCTTTGGTGGAAACTTATTTTTTAACCCTTAGGATGTTGGATGTCTGAGAATCTGCTCAAATGTATATATTTTTAAATGGTTGTTGATTAGGGGCGGCATGGTGGCTCAGCTGGTAGAGCTGCCTCCTCTCAGTAAGCAGCCGCCCGGGCTCAAATCCCAGCTGGGTGCAGTCTGCATGCTCTCTCCGTGCTGCCTGGGTTTTCTCCAGTTTCCTCCCACAGACCAAAAACATGCATGTTAGACTGACTGGTAACTCTAAATTATCTCTAGGTGTGAGAGAGAATGTTTGTCTCGTTTGTCTCTGTGTGTCCCTGTGATGGACTGGAGACCTGTCCAGGTGTCCCCCGCCTCTCGGACAGTGACTGCTGGACATGGGCACCAGTGTCCCCCATGACCCAAAAAAGAAGAAGCGGGTGAAGATGATGGACGGATGAGCTTTTGATCGTAAAGTTTTGCATCAGTTTAAGGTCACCTTGCATTTTATTTTTCTTGATGCGGATGCTTTGATTCAGAACTCGGTCCTCTGGAGGACTGAGGCAGCTTCCACTTTAGATCAGCTGAGCAAAAATATTTATTACAAGAATAATCTGAGCAATAGAAAGATGTTGTAGATCAATCATCAGTGTGCTTCATAAAACTTTACTGTTCTGGAGCTTTCAGATGTTTAACACAATCCCAAGATGGACAGACATCAGCAATGAGCCATCAATCTGGGAGGGGTTAAAGGTCAGATGTGGACATCTCAGAATGTTCAACCAAAAGTCAGACCATGCAACTGTTGGAAAAGACTTCATGCTCCATCTCAGACTCTACAGAGCCGTTAACGTCAAATGATTTTAAAATTGTGTTGTAACATCTTCACACTTGACGTATTCTTTAAAACACTGAAAAGGATTACTTTTAGTACCAACCTCAGTTTCTGACAGAACAACGAGACAAGACTCAACAAGCAGGACTTTTAGGAAGTGTTGTGTTTTCAGAACAGGACAGACATCTTCAGGAGTTTCTCATCAAAGCTTTCTAGTCCAAAGATTTGGTTTCAGCACCGGAGCTCCCCACGTTTTATTTGACATGAAAACGTTCCTCAGAGAAGCAAATCACAAATAATAATGTTGGTCTTACTTGGCTAAAGAAATTATGTTTTACAGTTTCCATTCAGTTCATTTCTAAAGCTCCAAGTCACAAGAGAAGTCGTCTCAGGGACTGAACAGAAACATTCATATGTAAAAAATAATAATTTAACTTTATTTATCTGAGGAGCAGCTTTGAGTTTAACTCCATCACAGAACTCTCATCTTGAACAAGCATGAAGGCGACAGTGGAAAGAAAAACTCCCTCATGAGGAAGAAACCTTTAGCAGAACCAGCTCAGGACAAGCTGCCATGTATCTAAACAGAAGAGATTATTTGAGCCACCATATATTATATACAGCATGCTTGCCACCACCGTTTGACCCCCTGATCTGACTTCTTATTGTAAAGTACAAAAATAATTTAATTCTGAGAAAACCAAAGGTTTGGCCTCAGGATAGGAGATGCACTCTGTCCTGAACTTGACAAATAAAAGGAGGTACCAACTTCCATCTTGATGTGCGTCTGGGCAGGACGGCCTCCACAAAATACTGGGTTGCAAAATCAAAGATGGCTACTGCCGTATAGTAGATGTCAAACTTGAGAGTCGGACAGTTTGAAAAATAAGCAACGCGCCATCTTTCACTTCAACATTTAGCTGCGTAAAAAAAAGGTACTAGCCATGTCAAAATCCAAGATGGACGCAAAGACAGATGTTTGCAAACCTGAAGACATGACCATCCATTATCTTTACCTGCTTATTCCATTTTGGGTCACGGGGGTCGCTGGTGCCCATGTCCAGCAATCACTGTGCGAGGGGCGGGGGACACCCTGGACAGGTCTCCAGTCCATCACAGGGACACATAGAGACAAACGAGACAAACAACCATTCACTCTCTCACTCACACCTAGGGACAATTTAGAGTTACCAATCAGCCTAACATGCATGTTTTTGGTCTGTGGGAGGAAACTGGAGTGCCAGGAGAAAACCCACGCATGCACGGAGAGAACATGCAAACTCCACCCAGGAGGTCCCTGGACCGGGGTTTGAACCAGGGACCTGCTCGCTGAGAGGCAGCAGCTCCACCAGTCGCACCACCGTGCTGCCCTGAAGACATGACCATTAAAGAAAACTTCTAGTTTTAGATCGCTCTCAAGTTGTTTACTCGACTGACTGGGGTGAAGACTGATCTACGGTGCCCAAGGCCACCATTAGCCACCCCCTGGCTTTGTCATTGCCACTGGTGGTGGATAAAATTGTTCCCTCCCCAGAACCTGACAAGCCCCCACCCTGCAAACAAACAAATTCTACGCAGTGTAACTCCTCCCCACTTAAACATCTTGCACCAAAAGCTACTAGCGCTCCCTGTTGTCAGTCCAGAACTCAAACCCCTCAGGGACGGGGTCATCGGCTCCAAGCTCATCACTCCAAAAAATGTGTCATTTCCTCCCCATCATTTGAGCTATGGTCCAACATGGGCTAACTTCAAGCATTTATTTTGTGTAAACATGAAAACATACGCACACAAAGCTTATAGAATGTACACACATTTTTAAAAAGTACCGTAGACTAAAGACCAAAAGATGGAATGAGCAACAACTGTTTACACGTAAACTCTCGTCTTTATTGTTTATCGTCATATTAGTCACTCCGACACGACGGTCTAGAAGAGGACTGTAATGTTTGTGCAGTGCTTTTATCTTGCGTCCAGATGAACATGTGGCCGTAACTAAATAAAACCGAACAATCTATACAACGCTGCATGTGCAACTTGCTCAGCAGTGACTCTTCCTTTATTGGGAGGGAGAATGGAGATTTATAAATATGAACATTTTACACGGTTCAGCTTTCTGAGTCCTTCAGCATGGTGGTGATGTGCAGCGGTAGTTCTTCACTGCAACATGTCGATGTGACTCAAGCTGTGGACTAATGGCGTTTAATGCACAGGAAGTGAATACAACTCAACGGTTGGCACCAAGAAATCCACTATGAAGATGCTAAATGTAATATACAAACACTGGGGGATGAGTGCTGCGCCTCAGTCTCCTGCTCACAGGAAATAAGGCGTGGTCGTCCGGGGGGGGATGACCCTTTCAGAGTCGGGCACAGCTCTAAAGAGCTTTGGCTCCCGTGTGTTGGCGTCTTTGAAGACCATGATGGAGGCGATGTTGCCACAGCGGTAGCAGTAGTTGGGAGCAGACCACACGGTGACCAGCTTCTCATCAAACATGAACTTGTAGCCTTCGTGCACGAGCTGGTGAGCCCTGCAGATGAGCTTCAGGTTGTTGATGTGAACAAACTGCACACACACACACACACAAGTGTTTAATTGATGACATTGCAACGCATCAGTTGGACATGTCTAATCACTATAAAATGTTTCTGACACACGATTTGGCAAAATAATTTCTATACACAGTGGTCCCTCGCTACTTCACAGTTCCTTTATCACGGATTTGCTCTATCGAGGTTTTTCAAAATAAAATGGAAATGACCCACAACTGGCTGTTTGATGGACGACCCACATGATCAGCATGGAATTTTATTTAAAATAAATTATTTAAAGTTATTTAGCACCTGCTGAACAGCTATCAGCTGATCTGTGTGCAGAGTAGAAAAGTGGGCGTGGCCAAGACAGCTTGCAGGTGGCTGACAGAGAGAAATCATGACATGCTGAGCCCTTTGAGAGCGTTTAGAAACATTGTTTAGAATATTGTAATAGTGTGGGAAGGGTTTTAAACACCTTTATATACAAATTAAAAAAATAAATACAAACCGGATTCCAAAAAAGTTGGGACACTAAACAAATTGTGAATAAAAACTGAATACAAGGATGTGGAGATGGCAAATGTCAATATTTTATTCGTAATATAACAGATGACAGATCAAAAGTTTAATCTGAGTAAATGTAACATTTTAAAGGAAAAATATGTTGATTCAAAATTTTACAGCGTCAACAAATCCCAAAAAAGTTGGGACAAGTAGCAATAAGTGGCTGGAAAAAGGAAATTGAGGATATAACAAACAGCTGGAAGACCAATTAACACTAATTAGGTCAATTGACAACATGATTGGGTATAAAAAGCTTCTCAGAGTGTCAGTGTCTCTCAGAAGCCAAGATGGTAAGAGGATCACCAATTCCACCATTGTTGCGCAGAAAGATAGTGCAGCAATACCAGAATGGTGTTACCCAGCGTAAAATATCAAAGAATATTAATTTATCATCATCAACCGTGCATAACATCATCAAAAGATTCAGAGAATCTGGAACAATCGCTGTGCATAAGGGTCAAGGCCGTAAAACTCTACTGGATGCTCGTGATCTCCGGGCCCTTAAACGTCACTGCACCTCAAACAGGAATGCCACTGTCAAGGAAATAACAGAATGGGCTCAGGAATACTTCCAGTGAACACAATCCACCGTGCCATCCGCCGTTGCCAGCTGAAACTCTAAAGTGCAAAGAGGAAGCCACATCTAAGCAAGCTCCACAAGCTAAGACGTTTGCACTGGGCCAGGGGTCATTTAAAATAGAGTGTGGCAAAATGGAAGACTGTTCTGTGGTCAGATGAGTCACGATTTGAAGTTCTTTATGGAACACTGGGACGCCATGTCATCCGGACCAGAGAGGACGAGGATAGCCCAAGTTGTTATCAACGCTCCGTTCAGAAGCCTGCATCACTGATGGTATGGGGTTGCATGAGCGCTTGTAGCATGGGCAGCTTGCATGTCTGGAAAGGCACCATTAATGCAGAGAACTATGTTCAGGTTCTAGAACAACATATGCTCCCATCTAGACGTCATCTCTTTCAGGGAAGACCCTGCATTTTTCAACACGATAATGCCAAACCACATTCTGCAGCAATCACAACATCATGGCTACGTAGGAGAAGGATCCGGGTACTGAAATGGCCAGCCTGCAGTCCAGATCTTTCACCTATAGAGAACATTTGGTGCATTATAAAGAGGAAGGTGCGACAAAGAAGGCCCAAGATGATTGAACAGTTAGAGGCCTGTATTAGACATGAATGGGAGAGCATTCCTATTTCTAAACTTGAGAAACTGGTCTCCTCTGTCCCCAGACGTCTGTTGAGTGTTGTAAGAAGAAGGGGGGGATGCCACACAGTGGTAAAAATGGACTTGTCCTAACTTTTTTGGGATTTGTTGACGCCATGAAATTTGAAAACAACAGATTTTTCCCTTAAAATGATACATTCTCTCAGTTTAAACTTTTGATCTGTGATTGTGTTCTATTCTGAATAAAATATTAGATGTTGGCACCTCCTCATCATTGCATTCAGTTTGTATTCACAATTTGTTTAGTGTCCCAACTTTTTTGGAATCTGGTTTGTACATTTATTCCAGCTTTTATGGGAGTTATAATGATTGAGGTGAGTCTTGTGTAGTTTGTAGAGATGTGTGGATGAGGCTTTGTAAAGTTGTTTTCCTTTAAGTACTTAAGAAAACTTCAAAGACCGACCATCTTGTGGTCAGCTGTATTTACAGCAGACCCAAACTCCCTGCAGTCACTCAAGGGTCAGAATCACCCAATCTCCTGCTAACTGCGGAGCTAATTCGATTCCTTCAGACCCTTGTCAGTAAGCTCTTATCTTAAACTTCTGTTTATGTCCATTGTGCTTTATCACAGTTTAAAGAAATAATCTTTACTACAAAGCTCTTCATTGTTATAATACAATAAAACATGTTGGGTTTTATAACCATGCTATCTAGGAGAGATAAAATAAACTATAAATACATCCATTAATTGTTAGGCGTTTTTAGAGCCATCTATAAAGGTACTCTCGTACAGATGTTACACTCTGAAAGTCGACTTTGTGGATTTCAGTTTTCACTTTGCCAAAAGAAGACCAGCCATTGTGCTGATGGTTCTAATCCGGTGTCTACATGCCAGATGTTTGCCCAGGAAAAAAAGTTCAAGTGAATTTTTATATCAAGCCTGTTACAGCCCCCACCGTCACTCATACACACACCTCTGGCAATTTTAATCTGTTTTAAATTAACCTTGAAGGCAGCTACTGTTCAATTAAAAAAAAAAATCTGAGTCCTGATTCCAGTAAATCTAACACAGCAGGGTAAGTGTTGGGAATCGTGTTTTACTGACTTATTCAGGTTTTCACACACGGTTGCTTCAATCTGGAGCAACTTGGGGATCAGAGTCCAGTTTAAGTTTCTCACAGCGAAAAGTTCTTCAGTTATCAGATAAACCAAAGCGGGTACTCAAAAGAACCTGATACAGAACAAACAGGCCTGTAAAGAATCCCAGTACTTTCCATAATGAAACTTAATCTCACTCGCATGACATTGATGGAATTAGATCTTACTTTAGTGCTAACGTAATTTTAAAAAGTCATCACTAAAGTCATCTTTGTCATAAATGTTTATTTGAATTTGTTTGAGTTCAAATGCAAATCTAAGGTACTCTGCGTTGGTTTTATTCCACTTTAGCAGCAATAATTGTAAAAGCAGGGTGTACATTTATAAAAGGAACTATTTCTGGAAGCTGCATTTTTTTTAAATAATAACACTTAAACCTTGCTTTTCAGACACTCTGAGCTAAAATTTGCGTGCTAGAAGCTGAGATCCATCAACAACACAAGCTAATCAAAAATTCAAAATGGACACCAAAACATTTGAACACATTGACCTTTTTCAACTTTTACTTAAATTTTTAATTTTATGTTGTTGCTAGCCTTCTACTTTTAGCCTTTAGCTAACATTTTGTTTCTTAGCTGTTTAGGTTCAGATTCTCCAACAAACTTTAGCATTTTTTTCCACTTATTTTTAGGTAAAATTTCATCTACTTAAATTCAACTAGCATTAATTAGGGTAGTGATGGGGCAGAGGTTGGAGAAGGTGGGCCTGTGATCGGAAGGTTGTCGGTTTGAGTCCCCGGACTGACAACATAAAAAAATGTGGGTGGAAGAGGTGAAACACCCACATGCTTCCACCCTCATTTGCCCCACTCTGGGCCCTTGAGCCCTTAACCCCACCATCTGCTCCCAAACAGGTCTCTTGAAAATGAGTCCTTGTGACTCAATGAGACTACCTGGATAAA